TTTCATTACAATGAAAAAAAAAGTCTGAAGGTGTTTAATTAAACAGAGCTTTCCTTGCCTTTGCAGGCAGGCCATAAATAAAATAAATGTAGTTTTATTATTTTGTTATGACACCTCCTTTATGTTAATATAGAAAAGAAAGGAATAGCCACAAATAATCTTCGAAACTCTTTCAAATATATAGCAATAGGAATCCCCAATGTTTTTCCAAAATCTTTCAAAAACAAAACACAAGTGGGACCCAAAAAAAATCTGTAACATTCTTATAAAAAAGAGATCAGAACACTCGAAGTTTCTTTCAAACCTCTTGAAAAACAAAACACAATGGAACCCTAAGATTTTTTCACATATTAAAAAAAACACTAGAAGCCTCTGAGACTTTTTCAAACTCTTTCAAAAACGAAACACCAACGGTCCGTGAGGTTTTCTCAAATTATCTCGAAAACAAAACCCAAGGGAACCATAAGATTCTTTCATATATTAAAACAGACCCCGAATACTCTTTCAAACTCTTTTAAAACTAATAAATTAATGATTTCCGAAGTTTTATTAAATTCTGTAGAAGAGGAAACACAAGGGGCTTCAAAGATGGTTTCCTATTCTTAAAAAATATACCAGACGGCCAAAAATTCTTCGAAACTCTTTCAAAACGAAACACCAAGGATCCTTGAGGTGTTTTCAAATTCTTTTAAAATCAAAACATAACGGAACCTTAAGATTCTTTCACATATTAAAAAAAAAGACACTAAAAACCCCTAAGATTCTTTCAAGCTCTTTCAAAACCAAACAACAATGATCTCCGAAGTTTTAAAAAAAAGATACTAGCGCTCCCAAAATTTAGTTAATGTTCTTAAAACGAAACACCAAGGTATTTTCAAATTCATTTAAACACGAGATACAAGGGAAACTTAAGATTCTTTCACATATTAAAAAAAAGACATTAGAAACCCCGAAGATTCTTTCAAACTCTTTCAAAAACAAGCACCATTGATTCCCGAGTTTTTATCAAACTCTTTCAAAATCGATACATTAGGGGCCCTCCAGGTGTTTTCAAATTCTTTCAATAACAAAACCAAGGGAATCCTAGGATTCCTTCACATGTTGAAGAAAAAACGTAGAAGCCCAGAAGATTCTTTCAAAACCAAACACTGATGATTTCCGAGGTTTTACCAAATTCTTTCGAAGATAAAACACGGAACTCCACAAATTCTTTCATATTCTTGAAAAAAAAAAAAAATACCAGGCGCTCCAGAAATTCTTTCAAACTCTTTCAAAAACGAAACACCAAAGGCCTCTGAGATGTTTTCAAATTTTAGTAAAAACAAAACAACGGAATCCTAAGATTCTTTTACATATATAAAAAAACACACTAGAAACTCCTAAGATTCTTTCAAACTGTTTCAAAACCAAACACCATGGATTCTTGAGATTTTTTAAAAAGATACCAGTGTCCCCAAAATTCATTTAATATCTTTCAAAAACGAAACCCTAAGATTCTTTCAAAAATTAATAATTTTTTTTTAGTTTAGTTATATCTGGATTCATACGTTTACAATTATTAATTCTTTTTCCTGTAATTGGGTGATTACACCTGTTGGAAAATAAACCATTATTATTATTATTACTATTATAAAATCTTTCAAAACACTAATGATTTCCGGGGTTTTATCAAATTCTCTCGAAAATAAAACTTCAAAAATTCTTTCCTATTTAAAAAAAAACCCAAGCGCCGCAGAAATTCGTGCAAACTCTTTCAAGAAAGAAACACTAAGGTTCCTCGAGGTGTTTTCAAATTCTTTTAAAAACAAACACCGGAACCCTAAGATTCTTTCACATTAAAAAAAAGGACCTCGTAGGAACCCCGAAGATTCTTTCAAACTCTTTCAAAACCAGCGATCCTTGAGGTTTTTAAAAAAGACACCAGCGTCCCTAAAATTGATTTTATATCTTTTAAAAACGAAACACCAAGGTGCTTTCAAATTATTTCAAACGCAAACACATACTAAAAAAATAGCCTAGAGGCTTCGAAAATTCTTTCAAAATCTTTCAAAACCAAACACAAAGTATTTCTGAGGTTTTATTAAATTCTTTCGAAGATAAAACACAAGGGCCTCCAAAGATTCTTTCATGTTCTTAAAAAAGACAGCAGGCGGCTCAGAAATTCTTTGAAACTTTTTTAAAAATTAAATATCAAGGGTCTCCTAGGTGTTCTCAAATCCTTTCAGAAGTATTATGGTATGAGAGTAAAATTGATTTCCGAAACACACAATATTGGTTACAATTTTTTCCAAAAAACTTATGACCTGATTTGAAAAAAAAGTACAATTAAATCAAAATTTCTATAGCATGCGGGAAATATGGTGTTAAAAAACTGAAGTTATAAATTCAAAAAATAAGCTATTTAGGGATATTTATTATAATTAGAGGGAGAGAAGTATACAGATCAGACCTTTAAAACTGACACAGAAAATATTATGCAGACTGATACCTGCACATAAATGCAAGGAAACACACTTCCATGTGGAAAGAATTCTAAAAGTACTCCATCAACGCCCACCCGAAATAATGCCTAGAAAAAATATGAATCACTCAAGAGCTGCCTTGCAACCATTTGGTACAAAGTAAATATTATGTATTACAGTATCTGGAAGAGCTAAAATCGCCCGATGATTGCGATTATCCGAAGCGGATCCGTCAATCTCCTTTGAAATTTTGCGCTTTTGCGGTTCCTTTGCCGAGCTTCGGGAAGCTCCCGAGCTTAGTTGTATTTTTTCCGCAAATTCAAATAATTTCATCGAGTGGGTGTGACTCCAATGATGTAAAATTCAGTGGGTTAAAAGCGTTGTCGTGTTTGTTCACTCCTTTAAGGCCGTATGTTGGGGTGAGTCCTTGATGCGAAAATATGTAGGTACTGCAGACGTGCGATACGTTCAACACACTCTATTTTTAGTCTATTTATAAACTGTCTTTTGGCCAGAAACTTAGCTCTAGGTACTTTATATTTACCTAAATCTTATTTCGGGACGTGGTTATTTTCGACAATCGCTTTTTAAAATTAACCGAAAGCATTGTTCTCGTTGCATGTCGTCGAAGAGAAATCCTGACTCTGACTCAGGCATCGGTTTATGATTTGTTGATGTTGCGTCAGCCACGTTTGTTTAATTTGTCCTAATTGTAAAGCTTTATTATTCCGAGCAAATTACGACGAAATTTAATTATAGCTCGCATGGCGTTTGAAATTTCGAAGAACGAAGGGACTCTTAGGTTGGAGTGCTGCGGCAAAAATACGGGGTCAAGGCATTGCTAAACGCGACAAATTAACTTTCGGGCCAAGACCGTCCAAAATAGCGAATATGAGGAAAAGAAAAATTAGAGAAAATAAAGCTGGCAGCTTTTCGCGATTTTTAAGTCGCTGCAGTAATATTTTAGTGCGGGTTGTGACATAATAGATAGTTAGGCTGTGTTTTTTTTTTGAGTTGTCTGTCTGAAACTGTAGGTGTTTGGCTAAGCGACGATTTTATTGTAAAGTAATCGTTTTGCTAACACAGTCTGATGACGTTGGTTAGTAATTTCCGGACGTTTGAACTAGCACCAATAATGAGATGCCAACACTTCAAAGATCATTAAAAATTTCTTGTAGCTTTAGAAGTTGGTGGAATATTGTTGCCTTGTATCCATTAACTAAGCTGAGAAGTTAAAGTAACGAGTTCAGTATTATTGTGGGTGTTGAAATGAACCCACACATCTCCGTATAACGAGTCTCATCCGATTCTAGTTTCCGAGCATAAGCTAGGGTAAGATTGTAATAGCGTCTCTTTGGCCAATGGCTTATTTCACGTTTTCTCGACGTTTCATAGCCCCTAAAAGTAGGACCCTTCCCATCTGTCTGTCATCTATTGACAATTTAATTAGACGGATAATTTTCAAAATTACCGGGTCGATACTGTGCAATTTTAGGTAGCGTTAACCAAACTGTGTCTAATAATCCCCACCAACAATTTGATGACGCCATCTTAAAATGTGGGAAGGTAAATGCTATTTAAATAAAATAATAATATGCTGCTGTACTAATGGTTTATTAACTCACTCTTAGTTTTTATCTTGGACGTTTATATTTTTTGAAAAAATTCAAACATACACAAGAAAATTTTAAAGTTTTTGTCAGAAAGTACCAAGTCGTCTAGAAAAAATGACTTAAAACTTACCATAACATATTTGTTTAGCTGTAATTTAATAATACGTATTATTTTTGCTTTAAGTTAAACGGATACCATTAAAAAACTGATTAAAGCTCCAAAATCAAATATTGTTATTTATCTTAGAAACTAGATTTGTTTGATTATCCTTCACGGATCAGCCAAGCTAAAGATGAAGCCCTAGACGAAGGTGAAAAAACAGCATTTAAAAAAAACAAAAGCTATAAAGAAATAGTAAATAAAGAAAAAATTGATTCGAAGGTTACAAAAATGCTTTTTCGACCAACAGGATTATTATCCTAATTAGACGGTCATTAGAAGGTATAAATTAAGATTAATACTGAAATAAGAAATTCTTTATTTTACCCCAGGATGTTTATTATTGTATATTATTGTTTCTTTGACATATTCGCTTATAATGTTTTGAGTTCAATTAGCCAAATACACTGACGTCATCCGAGGTCACCAAGATGGCAGCGTTTGACAACTAGCCGGTTTTCTCATAAGAGTCAATGCTAATATTTTCGGAATTCATTTAAATTTGAGAGTGTGTCAACTGTGTTTTTATGGTTTGGTAAGTTTGTTACAGTTTCTACACTGTGTAGATATCTGTAAAACGCACCATAACGTTTGAATAGGCTTAAAAAATAATGTTTCCCAATGTGATGTACAGGTTAACTTCGCTGCATCTTATATCATTTGTTTTGCAAATTAATTCTTTGTTAATGTACATCAATGTTTTTTAAATACACTAGCATCTTAATATTATAATATTTTGTATTTTAGGAGAAAATGCCTAAATTTTGTGCTGTTGTGGGTTGCGCGAATCGAAGCAGCAGAAATGCGGACAAATTTTATTTTCCTTTCCCAGCAATTAGCAACAATAAAGGTAAATATATACAGGATGGGAAAAAAAAGCGGAAGCTTTGGTTAAAAGCCTCGAAACGAGTGGATTTAACGAAGCCAAAGTAAAGTATTCCTATGTTTGTTCGGATCATTTTATTTTAGGTACAGTAACTACCTATTAGATTTACAGTTTCTAATAAATTACTACATTGGTGCTCTTTTAGGTAAACCTGCAGATTTGTCGGATGTGGACCATCCTGATTATGTTCCATCACAAAATTTAGGATATCAAAATAAATCCACTCATAATACTTGTAATTTTGAAAGACACAGTTGTTTAAAAAAGAGAAAACTGAATAAATGCCTCTAGACTTTTGAATGCACGAATTTCATTGTGGGTTATTTTACTTATTCCAAAAATAAAAAAGTTTAGAATGGTATTCATTGTTATGGTAGGGACATGGTCTAAACACAAATTAAAATCACTTGCACTCATTGTATAAGGATCTCCGCCGTTTAAATTGTTTAACTTTTGTACATATCTGTTTTTCTCTTTGAAAGAAAGACATCGTGCATAATCACTTAAATTATCCATACTTTAAAAACAAATCACACACCTTCACTTAAACCTGTCACATTAACCTCAAACGAAAATATTAATTTCCGATTTACCGCTTAAAACACACGGATGTATTTTGGGTGACGAGGAATTCAGACCAAAACAGCGTTCTGTATTTTTATTTTTATTATGTATTTTTAAACTCAAATCGCCAAAAAAAGCACCCTGATACACAGAAAAGATATGAAAGAAGCTATTCACGTGTTTATTTTCTAGATAAATACCTACACTTTTAAATGAAATGCGAAAATGTTAACATTGCCACTTATGGAGTTTCACGGCGCTTGTCAAACGCTGAGTTCCCGCCACAGCGTGACGTCACGTGTTATTGGCTAATTATGGACCTACTAATCATTTGTTGCCTACTTTGTAATAAAAAAATTGGTATCATGTTATTACACAGAATTTCCGTCGCATCTAAAGTACAGTCAAACAAATTCAGTTTTAAACGAAAAATATATCTTTAAAGATAGATAATACCAGTCACAGTGTATGAAAAAAAAGTGGCCCATGAGGCGATCGAACACGCAATCTTCGGTTGGTCAATATTCCTCTTGTATCACTATAAAATGTTATACAATTTTTTTTTGCGAAAATCTGGATGGCTTAAGGCAGACTCATAAACCACAAGTATGTTATTTTATAAAATTTAAATAGCATTTACTATGCAAAATTTTAAGGTGTTATCAAATTGGTGGGAATAGTCAGACAATCTAATCTAATCTAATAAGTCTAATCAACACAAACGATAGACTCCAGACAGTCTTATTGTTTCATACTCTAGGGGCCATGAAACATCGAGAAAACATGAATATACAATATTTCCCGGGAAGCAAAAATTGCAAGAATGGAATAAAGATCGACAACAAGAGTCACAGATGTTTCAAAAAGAGTAACGAAGAATAAATTCTGTGAAAATTAATTCAAGTTTAAAAGGAAAGTAAATTGGAAATAAATAAAAACGGAAATGGAGCTCAGTAAGAAATAGCAAACAACCTTGTTGTTATCTAATACAACATTGTTGGCATGCAAAGAGTGGCAAGAACAAGGAAAATTGAAATCGAATTTTACGCTTCGGAAAAATTAGAATATATTTCAGTGATACTTAACATGTGGAAATGAGCTTATAAAGGATGAGATCTTAATGACCAAAAAATTTAAAGTGTATAATTGTTTTTCAATAGAACAGAATATGGGTGACCGTAAAGAAACAATAGAAAAAAAAATATGTACGAACTAGTACTGAAAAATAAAAGTGAAACAAACATGACTGATGTGGTATTTTTTAGGAAAATCTGGTGACTAGGTTGAAAAATCAAGGCGGATTCATACACCACAAGTGAAGGAGTATTTCATTTTACACAATTTAAATAGCATTGTTGCCGAGTGGATGTCATCAAATTGTTGGTGTGGATGGTTATACAAATTCCTAACATATACATAAAATTTGAAAACAGTCGGTCCGATAGTTTCAGAGATTTTTTGTCCAATAGAAATCCACACGAAAGAACCACAGTATAGGAGCCCTATTGTAAGTCTCATGAAATGTAGAGAAAACATGAAAGTATCCACTACTTACGCTTGGGAAGTAAAAATCAGTTAAAAGAGTAGTGGGACATTCAAAATTCAAACGTTGTTTCTCAAGATTTTCTTCGTCGAGCTTTTCAATACATAAAAACACAAACGGGACGATTAACAAAAAAAGTCTTGTGTCCAGATTCAGTGATTTTTTTTATTTTTAATTTATAAACTGCCTTAAATATAGTTCCACAAGTTGATGACAATACTATAGAAATGAAACGAAAATTTACGAAAGTCAAAATTTTACTTTTACAATCTTCTCCCATACACTAAAAAAGACTCCATCTCATTACAATATCGTCGCAAGATAAAAAAGATGCGCGTATTTTTGCATTCAAGGGTTCGTCTGAGAAGGATAATCGAAATTCCAAGATCTTCGTGAAAATTTTTAGAAGTTATCTTGAAACGATTTGCTGAAAGTCACACAAATTTTGGTTCTCAATAAAGACTCTCGGGTTCAAGTTCTCAATTCGGGTTCCTGTTTTGTTAGAGTAAAAGAAAACAACCAACAACAAATTCTTGAAGGTGTGTAACTAATAAGCAAACATAGTTTTAAAAGCCGTAAAAATTGGTCCTATCGTATTGTTAGACATAATTTTCCTCGTCTCTAGAGTACAAATTCAGTTTTATAGAAATAGGAGATCGAACCGGCGACCTTCGCATTATTGCACGCACTCTAAATAATTGAGCTCATGAGCGGCTGATCAACGTTCCTCTTATATTACTATAAAATCTTATACAATTTTGATTTTTATGGGAAAATCTAGATGCCTAGAGTAAAAATTCAAGGTGGATTTATAAACCACAACTAAGGTGTATTTTATTTTATAAAATTTAAATAGCATTTATCACGCAAAACTTTGTGATGACGCCATCAACTTATTGTTGGGGAGGATTACACAAATTTTGGTTATTGTTGTACTATCTACGCGATAGTTATTTTTAGAAGCTTTACAATTTTTACTTCTAGAGCGAAGGAAGTATTGTAATCGAATCCATCGGCCGGCTCTCTATTTTTACGATTTCTCAACATTTCATGTCCCTTAGAGTACGAAGAGATCGCTCTCCCGTTTCCGTCTGTCTGTCTGTCTGTTCGTCTGTCCGTCTGCCGTCCCGGATTTTTTTTTTTTGTATTAGTTTCTTGTTAGGAATTTACGTCATTTGCCGTAAACAACAATGCAAGAACAAAAAACAACTTCACTGACACGGGGCACATAACATATTTTTCCAAATCAGATTGTATAGTAGCAAAATCACAGACAATTTGGATTTGAAAAAAAAATGTAAATACTGGCCAAATTAATAAAAATACAGGATGTTTGAAGTTGAGTATACAACTGAAACTCTTGCCCAAAATTTGTCAATTTTACTACTCGTTAATAATAATATTTGAACCTAAATTATAATGTCATATTTACAAATCAAAGAGATATCCCAAAATAGTTCACGAAAAGCTACATTAACACATCATAATGACCGTTTGTTTTGACAAGATGCCACTAACTGTGTTTTTCCACATGAAAAAATTATTTTTTGACACTTATAGAAATTTATGACGATAAAAACTGGCATTTGGTCGAACTTTATTTGAAAAGAGCCAAACAGAATTTTTTGTTAAAACGAATAAAACTGCAGCCGCCTGCCAATTATGTACCTTCTTTCATCCCGATTTCCACGCCTCAGCAACCATACTAATTAAAACCACTATTCACGCAGTACTAAAGTAAAAATTTGCATTTCTTTCTACTTTCATGCACCTCTTCATGCTATCAATCGTCTCGTTTGTGCAAAACAACAAAAGCGAGGTGAAAACCTCGTATTGTCTCCGATTCAATCTGCGGCACAGCTTGTTTTATTTTTGGAGCGGTGTTTGACTTAAATTAAGCTTTCTAATTTTACGTTTTTTTCCTCTCCTGTACGAAGTAGAGCCATCACGGATAAATTGTGCCTAAATAAATGAAGGAAACCACTGACGGTTCTTGGTTTATTTTGCCTGTCGCCTTAATGTGTCGCGGCCGGAATTTTACGTCGGCAGGTGCCGTCGTAGAATGGCTTGTCAAAATTGACCTTTTTTTTATCTAGATCGATAAAACTGCAATGGTTATTTTCGTAAAGAACGCTGGCGCTTACGCGGAAGATCGTCGTAAAGTGAAAATAGTAGCACTGTAATTGCACTACTTCGTACAAACAGTGAAACAAACACGAGCTTGGAGGTTTTTGGTTTGGAGGGAATGGAACGTTCATTTGTGTACACAGTTGCTGTAAAACTTTGCTTGAGAGGCTTCTGGCAAAAGGGAAAATGTCGTTAAATAGAATTGGGGCGGATGTCTATAATTGGGTCAAGTTTGTTCAAAATGTAAAGACAGCAGGAATTCGATATGAGGATTTTGCTTTACTCAGAAAACAGCCAAAAGCTACAAAATGTTTGCTTGGAAGTTGCAGAAGTGCAAACAATTAGTTTTATTGGCATTCAAGCGCCAAGAGAGAAATTTAAAGCGATCTCGGAAATTCTTTCACATATATTTTAAAAAATACCGTAGGGATTTCCGAGGTTTTCAAAAATTGTCTCAAAAATAATGTCAAGGGGGCTCAAAGTTTTGTACCTACTCTTAAAAAAGATAGGGATAATGAAGTTTCTTTTACATTTCAAAAACAAAACACAAGGGGCCCCGAAGTTTTTACACATTCTTTCAAAAATAAAACGCAAGAGGTCGGGAAGATTCTTTCACATATTAAAAAATCGGTCTAAAGTAATTTAGACTGGACTTCCCTCGCACCAGAAGACAAAAAAAACGCGAGCAAAGCTCAAATTCTCTAAGAAATCCACACGTCCACTGGTAGTCGTTATGCACGTAACCCAAATATCTGTTATGCGCACAAAAATTTTTGTGAGGTAATTACGATAAAAATCGAGGCAGACTCATACACCACAAATATAGGAGTATGTTATGTTATAAACTACAAATATGAGTTACTACAAAAAACGTTGGTGGAGATGTTTAGATAAATTTTGCTTAGTACGATGTTAATCAAGAACGACTCACTCCATTTTCTCGAAATTTTGGGAACACAGTATTCTTATTTTTAGTATTGTACTGCATCTATTCAAACTGATATATGTCATTGCAAAAATATTGATGACATCATCACAAACTTTTGTAATGGAAAAACTCGCTTGA